GTCGGGAAGCTCCAGCCAACACTGTCCACCATGGGTGCCCATTACCACGATTGGCACATCCTGTCACAGCCTTCAGTTACAGTAGAGCCAGCCCTAACTCAGAGCAACGTCACGCACAAAAGAATGGAGCATTACCCGGTCATGCTCCATCTTCATGACCAGTTGCAAATTGGATTATTGTAGTCTCTTATGATTTTCACTGGCTTATTTTTGGAAGTAGATCATTAGAATTTTCTTTCAAGTTCATCCCAATTTAAGAAGCTTTAATGAAACCTATTCATCATCATGGAAACTCACAAACTTCCACTGACAGATGTGTAGTAGTTACATATGAGGTACCTCAGTAGGGAATTGAATCCAGATCTCCTACAATGGAAAGCAAGAATTCTACCATTGAACCACAATGCTTTCAGAGTAAAATTACTCATTAGTAAAGAAAGAAATAATGATTTAACAACTTCTTCTCTTCCCCAACCAAGTTATTTGGGTTTTTATAATCTTTGAAATAAGAGAAGAAACATTTTTAAGTTTGTTATTTTTGTTTGTTCTAAAACAGGCTTTCTTATTTTAGGTCGTAAATGCATATCATCTTCGTGTAAGAAGAAAGAATCCAGTGACTGGCAACTATGTGAAAATGAGCTTGCAGCTTTACCTGGTTGACAACAGAAGCTATCTTTTGGACTTTAAAAGCATTGATGGTAAGAAGATATACAGGCAGAACTTTGAAAAGATAAAACTTAGCTCTGGTTGGCAAAGATACTCAAATAATTTCAAAGGCCTTGTGAATCATCTATTCCTGTAGGTAATATGGACTTAACCAAAATATAAGTGAAATAAAAGAAGATATGCAATCCTGCAATAAATGTTATAGCAATAATCTATGATTGAGTACAGAGATAGACATGCTGGCTGAGCAGGGGTTGTTTGACAGAAGAAATTTCTACATATGTGTGCTGGAAATATATCTATAATTATAATAAAATATATAGGAGGCAAAGTTATGAAAATGTGTTATGTGCTGTGAAGTTGAAACCGACTCATAGCTGACCCTCTGCTATGAACAGGAGGGGGATTGCATCTCTTTCTTCTGTAGAATAGTTGCTGGATTCAAACAGTATGCCTTCAGATTGGCAACAAAAGTTCTTACTGCTCATCCTAACATTGTCTGACACACTAGAGCCCATTGCAGCAGTCACTCTGTATAAAAAGAGCAAGGGCCACATGGGAATGGCCCTTTAACAACTTCACAGGGAGGAACTCTCCTCGTCCACAGAACTACACAAAACCAATTCCTATTAGGTCATACATGTCCCCCATGCTCCCGTTCCTCTTTCTACTGATCTCAACACCAACCTTACTGGTTTGCTGAGTCCCAAATCTGATGTGATAGCTCACAGACCACACAGAAACATATTGGGGAAGTAAAAAGTTTACAATCCAGATCAATAACAGAGTACAGTCAAAACAATTTCCGAAATGTGCACACAGACACCTCAGCCTCAAGTCTTGTGGCATTTCCAAGTTTTCAGCCCTGCCAATATTCGCTTTCCTCCCAATTGTCCAAAAGTATTCTCAGTCCTGCCAATATTGGTTCTCCACAATTGTCCAACAAAATTCTCAGTCCTGTATATATTACCTGCTTCTTTCTCCCCAAAGTCTCATCTCATTTTAATTCTCTAGTTCAGCCATGGCGGTGGCTGCTGCTGTCTCTACACATGTTCTACATTTCATTAGTTTTGGGGAGGTCTTTCTTCTCTGGCTAGGGAGGATTCTGCTTCTCTATGGTTAAAGTTATTCAGCTTACTGGCAACACTAGCCATTCCTCTTGTAGATTGTTGAGACTAGCCAATCCTCTTACGGAATGGTAGATAGCCAGTCTTTTTGTGGATAATTTTTTGCATAGTTCCACCCGTCCATATGGTTCAGTCATCCATGCTAGAAAAACCATATTGAAGGCCAAACTCTAGACTGTGTCAGTCCACCTAGTTGAGGATATTCCTTTATTTCATTGACCCTCTGCCTTTCCAAACATCATGTCCCTCTCCAAGGAATAGCCCCGTCCAGCAACATGCCTGAATTATGTGAGGTGAAGCTTAATAATCTTTACCTCCAAAGAGCACTTTGGCTGCATCCTTTCCAAGACATGTTTATTTGTTCTTCTGGCAGTCCATGGGATGTTCAGAACTCTTCTCCAACACTCAGCTCAAAGGTGTCAATTCTTCTGTCATCCTTATTCATTGTCCAGCACTTACATGCATAGCAAGTGATCAGAAAGACTATGTCCTGAATCAGATGCACGGTAGTTCTCAAACTGACATCATTACTCCTCAGCAATTTATAGAAGTTCCTAATTACAGACTTTCCCAGTGAAGTATGTCTCCTGATTTCCTGACTGCTAAACCAAAAGTGTTGATTGTGGATCCAAATAAGATGAAGTTGTTGACAGTTTCAACCTTTTTTCCATCTATCATGATGTTGCCTAGTGATAAAAATTTTTGTTATCTTGACATTGATATGTAATCCATGTTGAAGGTTGTACTCTTTGATCTTTTGCAACAACTGCTTCAAGTCCTCCTCATTTTCAGCAAGCAAGGTTGTGTCATTTTCATAGTACAGGTTAATGATGAGTCTTCCTCCAATCTTGATGCTACATTCTTCTTCAGAAAGTCCAGCTTTTTAAATAATTTGCTCAGCATACAGATTGAATAGGTATGGAGAGAGAATACAACTCTGACACATTCCCTTCTTAATTTTAAATTATGCAATGTACCCTTCATCTATTCACACAGTAAGTAGCCTCTTGGTCTAGATATAGGTTTTCTATGAGCACAACTAAGTGCTCCTCATGCTTATTAATATTAGCCATAACTTGTTATGATCCACATAGTCAAATGCCTTTACATAGTCATTAAAGCGTAAATTAGGTATTCTTAACTTTCACTGAGGATCCATTTGACATCAGCATTGATAACCCTGGTGCACTGGTTTCCTCTAAATTCTGAACTTGAATTTCTGGCAATTCCCTATCGATGTACTGTTCAAGTAGTTTTTTAATGATCTTCTGCAGTATTTTCCATGCATTGGATTGATATAAATTACTTTGTTCAATAGTTTCCACATTCTATTGGCTCACCTTTCTCGGGGATAAGAACAAATATGAACCTCTTCCAATTCATTGATCACACAGCTGTCCTCCAGATTTCCTAGCCTAGACTGGTGAGCTCATTTTACGGTTGCATCTGTTAGTTGAAACAAGTCAATGGTATCCCACAAATTCCTGAAGCTTTTTTTTTTTTTGCCAATGCCTTCAATGCAACTTCCACTTCCTCCTTCATTTCCATGGGTTCCTGCTCAAATGGTACTTCCCAAAATTTTTCAGTGTCAATCAGGGTTGTTTTTTTTTTTTTTTTGTACAGTGACTCATATTCCCTCCTTCTTTTGGTGTTTCTCAGGTCATTCAATGTATCTTTCAATATTTTGACACAAGGCTTACATTTGTTTTTCAGTTCTCTCAGCTTGAGAGATGCAAAATGAATTCTTCCCTTTTATTTTCTAGTTCCAACTCTCCATATTTGCTTTTTCTTCTCGACCTGCCCTTTGAAATCTTCTGTTCAGCTCTTTTATTTCAGCATGTTTTTCCTTTGGCTTCTTGACACTCTACTGCATTTTTTTTTATT